CTGAGGGCCGTAGGCCCGAGGGCTACCCTGAAGGGCACAAACAAGCCATAAGACCCTCCCTGCCATGCACTAACTATTTTAGAACGAGGTTACATGCATTATCTCACTTCCATCATGCTTGTGTACCATTGTATTGGGTAGTTTTGTGGTTTGTGTGCAGAGAGACTTTGTGTGGTATGAAAGAATATTTTTTTCTGGTAAGTTATGGTAACTCAGCACCACTTAGGACTACTAAAAGTAGAATAGAAGCAAATGAAATGCTGGGCTCTTATTACGAGCTTCATTCTTATTCATAGCTTGTGGAGCTATTTAGGGGATTTGAGAGCCCCTTGTAGATACCTTTAATGACTTCGATCTTCGGTTTTTATAGGTTTCCGCAAGCTGTTGACAAAGGAAATTCGTACAGATGAAAGAATACGGGAGGCAAAAACCGTACACACTTCTGATATGCGTAGCTTTTAGTAGTACACCGTACATTTTATGGAGAGCTCATTATCTGCACCGTACTTTATTAGTCTATAATGCATACAGGGAGTTGTACGCACCAGTTTAGAGCATATTCAGCGGGCTTTAAACTAATCCAAGGCCCTCGACGCGTCATCAAGAGTAGTAAAATAACGATTGAGCGGGCTTTAAACTCTGATAAGGCCCTTGGCGGGAATGTCGCTGATTGGTCGTTTCCTGGACAACGAGACAGACCTCGTTCTAAGTATATTTAGTGTATCTCCGTATGTAAGCGTACGGCGTCTGCTGCATAAAAGCAGCTGCGCATTTCTGTTTTGAGGAAGATGAGATTTTGATAATAACGAGCTATTCAACCTCCAGGTGTGCACCGGAGAGAAAGAAAGTTATTTGCCGCTTCTTCTTTCACTAATAATTATATCTCAGGTGTGTACCTGAAAGAAGTAGAATAAAAGTAATTATTGTTGATTTCACCGCGCCTACCACTCGGCTACCCATTACATTTAAAGGGGCACTCCGGGAATATTTTCGGTGGTGTGTTCTCTTCATGGGGGCCTTATATGGCCCCCAAGGAATGGGGAATCGCGAAAACTAGGCCCAAAAAGTCGATATATGAAGCTAGGGAGGGCCAAGTTTGTCTCCTCTTTTGATGGTTTTGATGACGTCACGTGTGATTAGTATTCAAATTCTCTGCATTTGAAGATCTTAGTTGTTTGAATTTTCTGGTGATGAAGAACGATGTTTGGTCAACATTCCCAAGCTTCACAACTGCGACCATACTCTAAGGAACCTGAAGGACCTCCTGAGGTGCCACTGGTAGAAGCGCAGCCTGATGACGGCCAGGAAATTGGAGCGGACGACTTCACTGGTCGACAAGGAAATAACGATTGGTGTTCCTGCCAGAAATGTGGGGTGATGCAGAGGGCAGTCGATTACCTTCGCTGTCGAGAGAGCGCTGCAGCTGTTAGCATTGACAGCCCTTTGACGTGCGTTACACATCACCCCGACTTCGTGTCAGCTTGTCTAAAAAAACTGTTCTGACCATATGCCTCACGACATATAGAGAATTTCGGGATCCTCGTACGCGGACCAGTGAAGTCGTCCGCTCCAATCTCCTGGCCCTCATCAGGCTGCGCTTCTACCAGGGGCACCTCAGAGGGTCCTTCAGGTTCCTTAGAGTAGGTCCGCAGTTGTGAAGCTTGGGAATGTCGACCAAACATCGTTCTTCATCACCAGAAAATTCAAACAACTAAGATCTTCAAATGCAGAGAATTTGAATACTAATCACACGTGACGTCATCAAAACCATCAAAAGAGGAGACAAACTTGGCCCTCCCTGGCTTCATATATCGACTTTTTGGGTCTAGTTTTCGCGATTCCCCATTCCTTGGGGGCCATACAAGGCACCCATGAAGAGAACACACCACCGAAAATATTCCCGGAGTGCCCCTTTAAAGCCCGCTCAATCGTAATTTTACTACTCTTGATGACGCGTCGAGGGCCTTGGATTAGTTTAAAGCCCGCTGAATATACTCTAAACTGGTGCGTACAACTCCCTGTATGCATTATAGTACGGTGCAGATAATGAATTCGCACAGCAGAAAAGCAACCAACAGAAAATCACGGAATCATAGCAAACAAAACAAAATCATCGGATAATAAAAGTGTGGCTGAATTCTGCACAAAATGTACGGTGTACTACTAAAAGCTACGCATTTGAGAAGTGTGTACGGTTTTTGCCTCCCGTATTCTTTCATCTATACGATTTTCCTTTGTCAACATCTGGTGGAAACCTATAAAAACCGAAGATCAAAGTCATTAGAGGTATCGACAAGGGGCTCTCAAAGCCCCTAAATAGCTCCACAAGCTATGAATTAGGCCTTGGCGGATAATGCCGGCAGAAAAATTGGCAGAATTCGGTACTTTTTCGGGTAAGTTTCATGCATGTTTGGTATGTGGATAAAGAAATGGAGCAGAATTCGAGGAATTGCTCGCCATAAGGTTTGTATGGTTCTGCCAATTTCACTGCTTTTCGAGCAGAATCTGCCACCTTTTCGAGCATTATCCGCCAAGGCCTACTATGAATAAGAATGAAGCTCGCAATAAGAGCCCAGCATTTCATTTGCTTCCCTTCTACTTTTAGTAGTTCTCAGTGGTGCTGAGTTACAAGAAGAAAATTTTCTTTCATACCACACCAAGTCTCTCTGCACACAAACCACAAAACTACCCAACATAATGGTACAAGCATAATGGAAGTGAGATAATGCATGTAACCTCGTTCTAAAATAGTTAGTGCATGGTAGGGAGGGTCTTATGGCTTGTTTGTGCCCTTCAGGGTAGCCCTCGGGCCTACGGCCCTCAGGCTAACCTGTCGGGCACTAACAAGCCTTAGAACGAGGTCTGTCTCGTTGTCCAGGAAACGACCAATCAGCGACATTCCCGCCAAGGGCCTTATCAGAGTTTAAAGCCCGCTCAATCGTTATTTTACTACTCTTGATGACGCGTCGAGGGCCTTGGATTAGTTTAAAGCCCGCTGAATATACTCTAAACTGGTGCGTACAACTCCCTGTATGCATAATAGTACGGTGCAGATGATGAACTCTGCATAACGTGTACGGTGTACTACTGAAAAGCTACGCAATTCAGAAGTGTGTACGGCTTTTGCCTCCCGTATTCTTTCATCTGTACGAATTTTCTTTGTCAACAGCTTGCGGAAACCTATAAAAAGCGAGGATCAAAGTCATTAGAGCTATCGACAAGGGGCTCTCAAAGCCCCTAAATAGCTCCACAAGCTACATACATGTACATGTATATGAATAAGAATGAAGCTCGCAATAAGAGCCCAGCATTTCATTAGCTTCCATTCTACTTTTAGTAGTCCTAAGTGGTGCTGAGTTACCATAACTTACCAGAAGAAAATATTCTTTCATACCACACCAAGTCTCTCTGCCCACAAACCACAAAACTACCCCATATATTGGTACACAAGCATAATGGAAGTGAGATAATGCATGTAACCTCGTTCTAAAATAGTTAGTGCATGGCAGGGAGGGTCTTATGGCTTGTTTGTGCCCTTCAGGTTAGCCCTCGGGCCTACGGCCCTCAGGCTAACCTTTCGGGCACTAACAAGCCATAAGACCCTCCCTGCCATGCACTAACCTATAAATAAGGCCCTCCCTTCCATGCACTAACCTATAATTATGTACTCTTGATTATACCAAGAGTAGATAAACAAGACTCAAGAGTGTGCAACTCGCGGATGGGTAGGCCCACGGCGGAATTTTTTGTTGACGTAATCTTTTCGACGACGCACGAGCTGCGAGTCTTTCGGAAAGTTTTCCCTCGTGCTCTTGGCCGGCTTTACACTACAAGGTCGGTGCCCAGCACGTGCTCTCACACTGCTCTGAGGCGAAAGCGCGTTCTTCTGAAAAAAGGTGACGTCAACAAAAAATTCCGGCGAGGGTATCTGGAGATTGTACAGGAGAGATCCGGAGTTGCACACTCTTGTTTATCTACTCTTGATTATACTTTATAGCAATAAAAACTGCTTTATGGCAGTTTTCTAAAAAAAGTTATTGTGTTCCATGGACCCCGTCTAAAAAGAAATTAACGAAATGTGCATGTGATAGCCGAAAATTAAAATTTCACACAAAACCTCACAATAATGCTTCTGTTCGTATTTGCTCCACGCTATCAGACTTCCGCTCATCCATACAAAAACATATAGGATACCCCGTAAGAAGGCCTTAGGCCCGTGGGAATGTCTTATTAAAAATTAAAATTAAAAAAATAATCACACACAGGATGAAAAGCGAGAAGACCTTTTCCCCTCGTGGTCCTCTTTCCTATTCATGCATGTTGGCGCCGCGAGTACATGTCACCCGTGAAGTGTCAGACTAAACAAGTGTGGAAAGCAGTATTTTTTAAACTAAGATCCTCAAGTGTTGTGATTATAGGGCTTGAAAGTGATGACGTCAAAACGGCCAGGGAGTAGTAAGTTGACATCAGATTTCTATTTTTGGATCCACTAAGGTGTGACTTTGCTATTGCCTAAGTATGTGGGTGCATACATGTAGCAACCCACTCATGTCGCATGCAGGTGTGACTTTTATTTCGCCACCAGTTGTAATCCGCGGCCCCCACTAGCCAAATCAGTTACAGAATGGCTCAGACCACGCAGTGGTCGCCAGCTATTCTGGATTATATGAAGAATGTGATGTCGAACATATCAACGTGTTTGGCCTAATTCTCTAACTTGACAGCTAGTTTGTAGTGTATTTTACATGTTTTATGTGAATTTTGTGTTTTATTTTGTGCGCATGCCCTTTGGCATCTTGGAAAGCGCACATTTTTTTGTTGTCAAAACTGTCCGTTCCACACTTGCTCTTCGGCCTTTGATAGCGAGCCTCTAACAAGTGCATTGTCCCAATATCAACGTAGACGGGTGGGAGGGAAGGGACGTTGATATGTTCGACATCACATTCTTCATATAATCCAGAATAGCTGGCGACCACTGCGTGGTCTGAGCCATTCTGTAATTATATTTCAGAATGCTCTGTCTCCATATCAACGTGATTTTGTAGCTTGTCAGTGGTCGACAGCTTGGTAGACAGGACAGCCTTCCCGAAGATGTTGTTCTTCTGAGGCTTGTAGTAGAACTTTTGGAAGATACTCTCACTGCTCCAATCTGCTGCAGAGAGGATATCGGTCGTTGTGACCCCAGCGTCTGCTGCAGCTGAAGTTGCAGCACTTCGCACCGAGTGCGCTTTGAAGATATCCGTATCGATTCCGGCCTTCGCCAGAACTGTTTTAATCCATCTGGCTACGGTCGATGATGACACCGCTTTGTAGGGTTGTATTGTAGCAATCAGGAGTTGAGCTTGCTTTTCATCATCAGCTCGATTCGCCAAGGTCCTACTTTCGTAGTCCTTCAATGTTTGCACAGGACACAATAGTGCATTGTCCTTAAATGCTGGGAAGAAGAACTCTGTAATCTTCTTGTTCTGCCTGGACTGCTTTGCCAGTTTTGTCGGGTGAAATGTTACGCCCTCCGGGCTAAACTGCCTGAACCTTATATCAAGGTTCACAAGATCCACCGATCTCGATGGCCTAGTGAGGGCCAACAGCATCGTGATTTTGAACGTTATATCCTGGAGGGACATTTGCTCGTTCTGACCTAGTGAGACCAGGTATGTTGTGACCTTTGATACGTCCCACGTTGAGGAGTACCTAGGTTGGGGTGGTCTTTCATGGAAGACGCCCTTCAGTAGTCTGCTTACCATTGGGTGTGATCCCACTTCGTATCCATCAACTTTGTCGTGGATAGATGATATTGCAGATCGATAATTACACAAGGACCTATACTGGTACTTATTCTGATAAAGAGAAGCCAAGAAGTTAACCACGCCGGCTATATCTCCCGAAATGGGATCAATGTCCCTTTCGACACACCAGCATGCCCATTTCTTAAAGAGGGAATCATAAGTTTTTGCAGACTTCTGTCTCCAAGATGCGAGGAGAAGTTTTGAAGCCTCTCCCGAAAGGTTCTCTGCTGAGTATCTTGACCTGAGATATTCCACACGGCTAGGGGTGGGTTTATCTCCGGTTCGTTGACTGGGTGAGTTGGTTGGATCGGGCTTCTGGAGCTCGTTATGAGGCAAGGCTCTTGGATCAGCATGTCCAATAGCATTGGATACCACACTTGGCCCGGCCATACCGGTGCCACAAGCACAATCTCTGCATTCTGTTGTTGGACTTGTTGCAGGACTTTGCCTATCAAGTTCCAAGGTGGGTTGGCATAGCCGTTCGAAACTTTCCAGTTCATTGTGAAGGCATCTGTGGCTATTGCTACTGGGTCGGGTCTCCAACTCACATACTGTGGGAGTTGATGGGACAGTCGAGAGGCAAAGAGGTCCACATCCAGTGGGCCGAATCTCGAGTTTATCCTTTGAAAGATTTTCGGGCATAGCATCCAGTCCGATCTGTCTTTCATCACTCGGGATTCCTCGTCGGCAATCACATTCAACGAACCCGCGAGATGAGAGGCTTTGAGAGTGATATTCCTCTGAAAGCACCACACCCAGAGCTCTTTCGTCAACCGGTTGAGTTCCGGTGATACGGTTCCTCCCAGTTTGTTGATGTAAGTCAGGGCAGTCGTGTTGTCCATCTTTAGATGGATCACAACATCTGTAGCATCCTTGGCATAGCTCTTGATCGCAAGGGATGCCGCCAGTAATTCCAGGCAGTTGATGTGCATGTGTCGTTCCTGTGGGGACCATGGTCCGCCTGTTCGAACATTGTTGAAAGATGCTCCCCAGCCTATTGTGGATGCATCTGTCTCTATCACCATGTCCGGCTTCGCCAACAGGAGTTGTTTCCCGTTCTTGTGAGACAGGTGATCCGTCCACCATGTCAGTTCCTCTCTGGCATCTGGTGACAGATGGCAAGGATGGGAGTACTCTTGATTCCCCTCCTCGAGAGACACTTGTAGACACCTCTGCAGGTGTCTGTAAAACAATGGTGCCGCAGCGATTGCTTGGGCCGCATGGTTCAGTTTGCCCAGAAATCTGGAAACTGCCAACGCCGTCAAGGCATCTGCTTGCAGTAGACTTTTCGCCTCGGACTTGATCTTCTTGATCTTGTCTGAGGGTAACTTCAGCTCCATCGTTGCGGAGTTCACTGTCAACCCGAGGAATTCTGTCTCCTGGGTTGGAATCACTTGGGATTTGGTTTGGTTTACTGTGAAACCCAAGTTTTCGAGTAGAAAGATCAGGCACATTGTGTGTTGACGAGCTTTCTCTTCGCTTTCTGCCAGAATCAGAATATCGTCTATGTAGATGATTACTCTCAGTCCGAGTGTCCTGAGAAAAACCATTATTGGCTTCGTGGTCTTGGTAAAGACCCATGGAGCCGACGACAGACCGAAAGGTAGGCAGTTGAACCGGTACGTCTTTCCCATCCACTGAAATTTCAGGTAGGATGTGTGTTCCGGCGTTATCGGGATCGCAAAGTAAGCGTCCTTTAGATCGACTTTCGTCATCCAGTCGCCCTGCTTTAGCAGGTCTTTGAGAGTGTGAATTCCTTCCATCTTGAAGGAAACTTTCCTCACAAAGGTGTTGAGACTCTTCAGATTTATTATTGGTCTCACACCCCCGTCCTTCTTCGGGACTGCAAACAACTGAGAAATGAATTCTTTCTCTTGTTTCTTCATCTGTACTTCCGTAACAGCATGTTTCTCTACCATCTTTTGCACTTCTAGTGAAAGACAGTTCATCTCTTCCCCGGAAAAGACTATTTCGTGGGGCGGTTTCACTTGATGGGGTTGAGCAATCCAATCTATTGCATACCCTTGCACACAATCCTGTACCCAACGGTCGGATGTGAGAACTTTCCAATTTTGAATGAAAAGTTGTATCTTCCCTGCAGGGGGAGGACTCTGTAAGGCTATGCTTTGAGCCATGTCCACAAAACCCAAGTCCTTCAGGCACACCATAAGCGGAGATTGAGACATATTTGGAAGAAATTTTATTTCTTTCAAATGATTCATGAGGAGGCACTTCTGGTCTCGCTGATGCTCGTGTGCTGGACTTGGACTTGTTGGAGCTGGATGTCACTTGGCAGAGTCCGAGGACTTCTTGCTGCTGCCGTGGCTGAAGCTCGAATTGCCTGCGTAAGGCTGGTACCGTCCTCGTCCCCTGAATCCTCCACGGGAATTGCGGGAGTCCCGGTGAAAAACCGGCTGGTGGCTCTTGAAACCGCTCGGTTTCTTGGCAGGAGCTGACTGGGTATGGGTCTTGCTGGCTGCAACGCTGTTCAGCACCCGCATCTCGTCATCACGCTCCTTCGCCTTCTTATAAAAGCCGTCGCCAAACAAATGTTGACGGGCTTCGGTAAAAATGGAGTCGTCCTCAGCCATATCCGCAATGCGGGGGTTCAGACTAGAGAGGGCAATTTGACGGCGTTCCCGATTACATTGGGCCGAAAAATTCCCGAGGAGTTTGACTGCTGACTGTACAGCCTCCAATATCTCGCAAGCAGAGATATCCCCACTCTCTGCTCCCTCCAACACTCGAGTTAGGGGACCAACGGCGTCCAGGCCCAAGCTTTGCAGGCGCGCCAATTGTTTGTCTCGAGACTTTGTCTCATTGGACATCCTGGACTTCATGACTTTGTCAAGTCCAGGACAAGCCGAGTGTGGACAGTTTGGGGCACCAAACTTGTCACGAATTTGTCGCCTGCTCGGATTCGGCAAGGCGGAACAAAAACTCGACTTCAACAAACCCATAGTTGAATCAGACACAGGAAAAAGTTTGACCCCTTTGGAGTCCAACTCTTCCGTCTCTTTCTCCATTTCCTCCATCACACTGCTATCATCCGGCCATGACTTGGAGCTTTGCTCCTTGTATGGTGTGGACGTGCCGAGGAATGAGACAGTCGAAGGATTTTGTCTTTGACTATCCTCGATTCTCGTTACACGATCAGCAATGCTTTGCATGCTGGCTTGGATATTTTCCAGGATTCCAACCATCTCGCTGGACGGTGTAGACGACGTCTCCATACCAGTATCCATAACTAGAAGAAGTACAAAGACTAAGAAATGTTTCAAAACTGAAAAGGTACAAGACGTACAAAAACGCAGCCGTCACTCAAGGCGAGCTAGAAAAAAGGCCGAAGAGCAAGTGTGGAACGGACAGTTTTGACAACAAAAAAATGTGCGCTTTCCAAGATGCCAAAGGGCATGCGCACAAAATAAAACACAAAATTCACATAAAACATGTAAAATACACTACAAACTAGCTGTCAAGTTAGAGAATTAGGCCAAACACGTTGATATGGAGACAGAGCATTCTGAAATATAATCAGTTTCACTGGCTACATCACCATGCTGTGGGTAAGACCGCTTGAAATGTGCTTGGATCCATACAAAAACTGGATCCAAGTGGATCCAGTTTTGAATTTTTGAAATTGTTGCTATGCTGTGATGTAGCACTTTCAAGCCCTATTGTGAGGTTTTGTGTGAAATTTTATTTTTCGGCTATCACATTTCGTTAATTTCTTACTTTTTAGACGGGGTCCATGGACTGGAACACAATAACTTTGTTAGAAAACTGCCATAAAGCAGTTTTTATTGCTACAATTTCTTTTGTTTTTTTAGCTAAGGATATTATCAAGATAATCGACGTGGAGACAACAATTTTATAATAGCAATAAAGAGAACAAATTCTGCAGTCGTCGCCACACTACAACGAAGTCATGAAAGTTTACCAGAATTAATTTTCTTGTCACATTCATCAGTGGAAAGTCGTGACTGAAGTCGGAGTAACCATGCTGAACAATGATTAAATATACATTCAATGATGTGTTACGAGAACAAAATACAGTGCCAAAATAGAATGAGGGAAGGTGAGACAATAGAAGTGAAGTGAGAGCTAAGTGCAACGGCGGGTGAGAAACTAATTACAACGCTAAGCTGTGTAGTGAGACAAACAATCATGCTGTCACGCACCTACGAAAACAATTTTAACGCAACCACATGTTGGAGGACGAGGTTGCGGTTGCTGGAGACGAGGAATCAGATGGTGATTGTGATCGAAAGAAGTCTGCCGTTTTTATTCACTTGTTGTCTCACCCTAAGTGTCTGCAGGTGTATGATGATTTTAGTTTTTCTGTTCTTTGTCGTGCACGGTATGCTAGTCAGTTGAAAGTACTTGAGGCTGTTTGTATTCGTTTGCATAAGCCTGATCTTTGTAAGCAGAAGAAACATGTGGTTGCGTTAAAATTGTTTTCGTAGGTGCGTGACAGCATGATTGTTTGTCTCACTACACAGTTTAGCGTTATAATTAGTTTCTCACCCGCCGTTGCACTTAGCTCTCACTTCACTTCTATTGTCTCACCTTCCCTCATTCTATTTTGGCACTGTATTTTGTTCTCGTAACACATCATTGAATGTATATTTAATCATTGTTCAGCATGGATACTCTTCAGTCACGACTTTCCACTGATGAATGTGACAAGAAAATTAATTCTGGTAAACTTTCATGACTTCGTTGTAGTGTGGCGATGACTGCAGAATTTGTTCTCTTTATTGCTATTATCAAGAGTCCATCACAAGTAAACAAATGTTTAAAATAAATTATGCACTGCAATCAGTAATACAAGCTGGATCGACATTTGTGTACACTTTATTCATGTAATGTAAAACTGTGGAGACAATGTGCAATAAAACGATGAAAATGTGAAGAAATGGTGTAGAGAAAATGAGGATTCAAACAAGTTTTCGTACAACACTCATCAGGAATCTTCGTTGTACTAAAGGACAATGAAAACAAAATTGAACTATTATAGAAAATCTAAGTTAGAGAAATAACACTAAGAACAACAGCAGTGAAATTTACAAGTGTGAATTTCAAGTTTATCAATGAAAGCCAGAGCAATAACGAATGCGTGTACTTACACAAAACTTGCAACTGAAAAATGAACAAAGAAGAGAAAGGGACAAAGTGAACAAATAACAGCAGTACATTACACCTAGAAAATTAATGGCCAAGCTTGGCTGCACCAAACATGACACTTTACTTGAACAATTTCAACCCAATTATACTATCCTTCTGTTAACTGTAGTCCATAACCATGACGACCACGGCACAATACAGTGAAAGAAGAGTCGGAATACGAATTGCAACAATCAGGACTAGCCAACAGATGATTGTACACTGAAGACTTGCTACCATTATAATACGGTTTCACCAAAAACTGCTTTATTTCTCGCCCACAAGAGCTTCCCTGGCGATATAGTCTTCATCCGAGGCAATGTTTCAAACAAACAGTGCCTGCAGAGCAGGACTGGCACGGTTATGAACGCACCGCCATACCAGCACGAGCAGTTTCTGGCGATATACCTTGTCCACGCGATAAACAGAGAGCCTCTCCAAGAGGTCACTGGCCCTGGTAAATCACCGCCCTTGCTGCGCGGTTTTGGGCCACCTGCAAGCGGTTTAGCTGGTTGTGGGTCAAGCCGGAGCCATATGCTGACGATCCATATATCAAATTCGGCATGATGACGGTTTTATGTATGCGTTGTATCTCAACGATACCTCACTCAAGACTTCCAGGCGTACCGCACACAAGCACTCTCAGTCTCAACCACCACGGGCATTACGAGTTTAGATAGATAAACATTACAGTAATGATAGAATAGAATGCATAACGGGTATACGGGTAAGAGAGCTATTGCGACTCTGAGAGAACAACGAAAAACACCAAAGAAAACAACCAAGGAACAAAACCACTCAAAACACTGTCATCAGCAAAACGTGCCAGTACCGGTGCACACACGGCGACCCAAGCGAACTCAGCGTACCAAACACGCAACAAATAAGGCAAGCCAGATATCGTGCACGCGTGAGATGAGCGTATGACGGTATACACGACTGCAGAAACATGGCAGCGGCTCGTGCACGCACACACAAAATAAATAAACAAATAGAAATTCAAACTACAATAATTAATCCGAAAGGAAAGAGGAAAGAGACGTATGGGAAGCCGAAGGGTTTCACCTGTCAGTGGGTGCTTGCACCCGATATGGGTGAGAGTAAACCCTGTCAGATAGTGACACATCGTAGGATTACTCAGCAGCGGAACTTCACTCAGGGAGAATAGTAACAA